AAACCCAGGTGGGGCCAAAAAGTTTCCAGACCACAACATTTTAAATGTCCCGCCTTTTTTGGTAAAAAAAATTTCCGAACAATAACATTACAATTGCTTTCGTAGCACTTTTCCCCATTTCCGTATTACTTTTTCCGATGCTTCACCACGAAGATTTCCACAACATTGACAATTTTTCGACGGGTCATAACAATAGGGGGTGGGGGGGCGGCACGGCGCCACTGCCGAGCCCGCGTTAAAAAATCACTGGTAAAAAAACAGATTGGTTTAAACTTCATCTAACCCTCATTTAATACATATTAAAATAATTAGGGTTAGAAAAGGTATGTGTTTCAAGCTGTGTGCCGCAAATAAGCGAACAAGATTTTAGGTTTCACACCGATGCGCAGCAAAGCATATATTCTACAGAATTTTTGCATTATTGATAGCATGAAGTTATATAATCAAGGATTCCCTTTTTTATACAATGCATTTTGTCAGGGGGGCAAAATTTTGCCAGGGGGAGGCCGGGTCCCCCGGCCCCAGCCCTGCCTACGCCTCTGGGTTACGAAATGGCATTAAAAGTCGAGATAGAAAATAAAATTTACACATTCATTTAAAAAGTAACGTGTTTTTTTAATTTTTGGTAAAATGGTTACTTTTTTACATGTTTATACTATTTAGGTACTGGACGCTACAAAAACTGGTTCATTTCTGGATGGCGCTGGCTTCAGTGAGATGATCGCAGTGCATGAGCGCGGAAATTTGAGGGACCTAAAAGACTGGATCGAATATTGTGCCATAGGAGATGCTGACAAAAACTGTGTTTCAGTCGTTCTCGATTATTTTGTTGAGAAAGGGATTATTGGTAAAGAAAGCAAGTGGTTTGGAATGAAACGAACTTATCCTACCAAAGATAAAGGTTGGTAGTAATATAACATATTACATATAGTGAGTCATACACTTGAGTCTTGGGCAGATGTTGAATCATTGTTATATAGCTACTGCTGAAACTAAACATGATTGGCTGATTTGTGGTCAGGTGGATTTATATAATCCTGCTGGGCAACAAGTGAAGAACTGTTGCCCGTTCCGACCGGCTACGTATATACATATATAAATGCTCCAAATGGAGTGATCAAAAATACAGAGAGAAAGAATACAGTTTACGAAAGAATACAGTATCTATAAGGTCCGTTTCAAACGTGGAATTTTGCATGTATGCATTGAACTTAATTTGCGACTTCTGAAATCACGTCATACTTTGCTCGCATTATGCGACCACACCGGTCGAATTTGGAGTTACGGTCGACCGTAATTGACCATTTGCGTAATAGACTAAATTTTGAACTAAACAAGTCTAGACAAAAATTTCATCACAGCTTGAAGGAGCATCACAAAATTAGTAATATTCCAAAGTTTCGTTGCAAAATGTTGTAAAATGCGGAAAATATAGCCTTGCAAACTGATTTGCAATTTTCAGTCATTTTAGATTACAAACGGGAAATTGACAGCCCCAAACCCTTCGAGGCTGCCAATTTCCGGTTTGTAATCTAAAATGACTGAAAATTGCAAATTTCGCAAGGCTATATTTTCCGCACTTTACAACATTTTGCAACGAAACTTTGGAATATTACTAATTTTGTGATGCTCTTTCAAGCTGTCATGAAATTTTTGTCTAGATCAAAATTTAGTCTATTACGCAAATGGTCAATTAGAAACGTCGAATTTAACTGTTTCAGACATCGAATTTCGCATGTACATAATCCAACCTATTGAATTCAGACACACGTAAAATGCGACGTGTGAAACAGGCCTGACAGACTCAGCAGGTAAAACATTGTAGACAAGTGTAGGTGAACATTCAGCTGTCGACGTATTGTTTTTTAGCGCCTATAAATGAAACGTATACTGAAAAGTAATTTATAGATATAAATTGCTTTGTAACAATTGTAATTAGTAATTCATAATTAATTACTTTTTGGACGAAAGCAATTTGTAATATGTAATACTGTGTTGGAGAGGAAATTGTAATTTTTACTCACCACTTCTTTGGTAATTTTCACCACATGCAGATCTAATAATCAGGGTACAGGGATATTTTTCCTTTTTTCTATTCATGCTTTATTTTCATTTCAGAACCACAAATACAATTACTGCTGGAGGTCCGTCGTATTACGTTGCGAGATGAGGTCCCAGATGGTTTCATGTCCGCGTTGTTGATCATCTTACGGTTTGCAGACAGCCTGCACAACACTGAAGATCCTTTATTACGAAGATATTATAATGATACAGAATATGATAAGGCAAAACCTCGTTTGGACGAAATTCTTCGCAGTTCAGGTATCAAAGTCTCATAATCCCAATTAAATTACCCTTTTTTATTATTCTAGATTATAGAGTCTTTAAATAAAGACGAGAATTACATAACTTGGAATGATTATATTTCAAAGTTTATCAATAAAAGGGTTTATGAACATTTCAGAACGTTTTGCGAAGTGTGTGGTTGAATTGTACATTAAATTGAAATTTTACATTAAGTATAATAACATATACGTGATATACCTAACATATATATTTGGGAAATTCATAATTTTGTAATTAAAAATGATAATTTTGTTTTTTGTTCAATTTTAAAAATGTAAAGAATAAAGGATAGTGAGACAACCGAATATGAGCTATGCTAAGTCCTTCCATGCAGGTCAACTAATAACACACCTTTTTAGACTGTCAATTATTGATTTCAGAATACTTGACAAGTAAATTCGGTGGTTGAGTAGAATCTACAGTGTGTCCCCAAAAAACCTATTTGAAATAACGTATTGTATAACATAAGTAAATTTTATACATAACGAAACTGTTTAACAAGCTGCTTTAAATTCCCATGAGCGGAAAATCGTGCTCTTTACAAAGATATTTTAATTTTTAATAAGTCATTATGTATAATATATGCACCCTGTCAATATTTTAACGCATCTTTGCGTTCATCTTACTGCTGAGGCATTCAAATTCTAACAATACGTTATTTCAATAGTTTTTTTTCTTCTGTATTTACAGTAAGATTCTATGTTGCATCCCGACCAGCACCATTGATTCCCCATCGGATTTGTACGAACTTTGGTGGCGGCGCCTCTGTTCTTTGAAGAATTCAACCGTTTCATAATTACTTGACATATCAAGATTTAATAATCTACACAATTGCGTAGTTATCTCACTAATTAACGAAGTAGTGCTCTTTGATTATAAAGATTCTTTGTTTCCTTCCGACACCCTGTTGTTCCACATGAACATCAACATTTAATCTGCTTTCGCCCACAAGCTAATGTTTTGAGACGATTATTAAGAAATCTGGTTGATTCTGGTTCCATATTATGTCCAATGGCATGTAGAGGTAATATGTCACAGTGCCCAGCATTTCGTATATACTCGCTCATATTCGGCTTAAGAGCAAACGAGAATATTTTTGTAACTTTTACCCCGAAATCTCGCATTGCGACCCCAATATAAGCGTCATCCACGTGGAATGGTTTTCTTATGTAGACATAGTTAAATAATCTATTGAGGAGATCGCTAGATAAAATAAAAAAAGCACCAGGATTATATTTTGGAAAGTGTGTCTCGCCATAGTATCTCCAACTAATTGCCCATTTGGCACCAATTTCGCGATATACTTTACCAAAATGCCAGTAAGTGACACCTCCGCAAAATGGTTTCGGAAACGTAGCATTGACAAGATATTCCAGTATACGCGGTATGCGCACGTAAACATCATCATCTGTTTTCAAAATGTATTTTATATCAAATCTACTGGCCCAGACCAGACCCATGTACAACTTGATAACATTATTAATATAGTTGTCTGTGATATTTCCTATCAACATATCATTGTATTGTCTAGCTTCAGCCCTGTTTAATTCGTCATCGTTCGTTCCCCGTCCTGCTTTTCCAACAACAAATACTAGTAACCACCTTAAGTCTTTCAGCCTTTCGTCTCCCAAAGCTTTACGTTGTTCACAGTTGCCGTGATTTCCCCACGTTTGTCGAATAGCCTTGCGAAGTTTTCGAAACCTGTCACCCTTGGCGCCAGAATTGACCAAAACCATCAATAAAATGTTCGGTGTCGTGTGAACTTTGGGAGAAATCTCCGGGAAAACGAACTTGAAATCTACGAAAGGGTAGTAGTCATTTACTATATCAATCGACGGTTTTGCATTTGCCATAGCTCGTAGAGGAAACCAGTCACTCACTGCAGGCAGTCTAGGCGAACTAGACTTATGTGCAATGTACAATGTAGACGACCATGCCAAGAAAACCAGGAATAAAACGACGAATAATACGAGTTTTTGCTTAGAAGTTCTTTTGAATTGTAGTTTATATCGCCTTTTCGTCATTATGAGGTTAGGTGCTTGACAAGACAGATACATATAGGTGCATCAGTTGGACGTCGGCTTCACATGAGAAGATTCGCAATTTGGGGGCGGGGCAGAGAAGGATCAAGCAAGAAATAGAAGCCTAGCTGGTTTGCCAATCCGAAATGCTCAAAACGGTGCATAATTAACGGCCCCGAAACGTATTGCAAGCGCCAATCCTAAAGTTGAACGGATTAAACTTCAACGTACTTAGTTTTTAAATACATGCGTATTTAAAAACGTTATCGAATATTGATACGATAACGCTTTTAAATTGTTAATTACCCGGTGTACGAAGAACGTAATTTTTTCCCATAATCGTGAAGATCAGGCTTTTAGCTGTTGAATGGGACGTTTTTCACCCAGTATGGAGAAAAAAGGAGCTATATAATACGAGTCCAATAAAAATTGTTTATCGAAATCGCATATTTTCACCTCTTATTAAACCCTAAATAATCCTGTAAATCCCAAGGAAAATGTTAGCGCAGTCCTTAACCCTTCAGAGTGCATGACGGTCCCCCAAATTGTTGACATACATACATACATGACTTTATTTAGAACACGGAGAACCATCAGTACATATTTATGAAAATTAGCTATTTATAAATAAAAGCAATTAATATAGGTTAGGAAGATAACAAGATTTAAGGGAAGAAGGAAAAGAGGAGAGGTACTGTTCTACCTGGTTGGTTATGCTCGATGTAAAAACTTTGGTTATGCTCGATGTAGAAATTGGTTCCCTTTTTGTGCTCGGTTTTGTGAAAGCCCTTCTACTAGCTTCCATTATGTTCGCCGAAAGAGTAGTGTCCGCTGGATTGCCGTTCACGTTGGTAGGGAATAACAAATGAACCCATTTGATCCCATAAAATGCTTGCAACACTACTGCGTTATGTTATTTTTGGTCTGATACATAAGCCAAATAGGAAGCGATCTGTAACTTCTCCGCCGAAGGTAAACTGGTGGGCCGCCTGGTACTTACCAGGAATGCTCGCGAACGTGCTTTTTGACAGTACTTGAGGCTTTCGATCGCAAAACCTGACGCGTCAAAACTTGCCTATCCTCGAATATAAGGTTTTTACGCCTGCCCCTATATGTCGTGGAAATCTCCCCATGTCAGGCATGCGGTTGCATTAATTTAACTAACTTCCGAAAAAAGAAAATAATAGTTAATAAAGTCTCGTAACGTTACCATATATGCACATGTACTAGGGCCGCAAAAGCTTATAAACTAGCCATTGGAAAATAATCCCATGGCCAAATGCATTCCTGTTACGTTCGCCATCCAGCTTGGTTTGCTAGAAAATGCGGGTGGTGGGTTGCGGATGGCGGGTAGTGGGTTACGGGTGGCGGGTAGATTTTTTTAATTTAATGAATAATTTGAAATAGTATGTAGAAAATATAATAGTTTGCGCAACTATATTTGCTATATATTGTGTAGGGAACATTGCCTAATCTGTCTATGCTCGAAATTACGTTCTCTAATTTCTTCAAGTTTGCTGAATATCTTACAGTGGTACACTATTCGGTGTCACGCGTGTAAACATATAGTATTTCAGTCATTGCACAATCAAGGTATTGTATTTCTCACGGGAAGTGGGTATATTTTAAGATGACATTTTAAGTATGATATGTTCAATAGTGACCAATAGTTGTTTAGCACATTGACATGACCAATGCAGCAGAATGTATGAATGTTTGGCACTTAGGAACATTTCAATTCATACGAATGGGAAACATTGTCAAGCTGATGTTTAATTCGTAGCTGTTTATGCATAACCATAGTCATAGACGACCAACGACCTTTCATAATGATGATATGTAGTAGTACGAATGTCACAGAGGTCAGGTTAGCCTAAGTAAACGGTGACAGAAAAATTCGCAAGAAATTTGAGTTTGACTTGACAAAGCGTAACAAGACATGCCCGTTTTGTAAAGGCCGTTTTCCGTTAACGTTTGCTTTACCCGCGTGGGCGAAGCGTTCATTGTTTTTGACGCCCGCGTGAGCAGATTTTTAAAGCTCGCTCCGCCCGCGTGGGCAAAGCGACTGCAAAGGAAACCGGCCTTAAGTAGGTTGTTTGGACTTCAAACATCACATGATCAGTTTACTGCAAACTCAACTTGATTCAACTGTTTGACAGCCAGTTGGATCGCGTTTTTTCATGAAATGTTTCCGCTTAGTTGCAATCGACGCTAGTAATCATGTGTTTATAAAGTGTTCCGCAGTTCGCTACCATTTCAAAAGTCAAGTCCGGGTTTTTTCAAAGATGAGTCCGGATTTTTTTCGAGTGCGGGTGATCCGGGTTTTTCTCGAATCCGGATTTTCTTTGCGCCCGAGTCTGGTCCGGGTTTCCAACGATGCCCTTTGGTTATAAAGATTCCTTGTTTTTTTACACGCTGTGGTTTTACACGAACATCACATTTAATCTGCTTTTTTATTATTATTATTATTATTATTGATCTTTAAACACGGTAACCTTTCACATAGGTGATTTTCAAAGGGCCGTGCGGAAAATAAATGCATTATAAAAGAAGGAACTAATAAGGCCACATAAAAAAAATTACTTGTTTAGCGTCCACCCATTTTAATTTTCCTAGGTCGGGCGGGCGGGGGGTTTTTTTCGTAAAATGCAACACAAAATTTTGCTAAATGCAGGAAATCCAGTATATTACCACAGTCAAAACTCACTTTAATTCTTTCAAAATCCGTTCATGTTTTTTAATACCGTTCATGTTTTTAATAAAACAGAAATGATTACCGTTTGGCGGTCACGCGCGAACACTTTAGCTGCGAGGAAGGAGTAAACGTATTACATAGCTCCCAGAAGAATAAAATCACCATTTTTTCAAGTAAAACGGTCTTTTTTATAGAGAGTTTTTGCACTAAACTCGGACGGTTTAAAAAAAAAAAATAAAAAAATTGGAGGTCGGGGACTTTTATCAGGTCGGGCGGGGACGCTAAACAAGTAATTTTTTTTATGTGGCCTAAACTAAATTATACTTATTTACAAAATATACTTATTTACTTATTTACTTATTTACAAGATGTAATTATTTAATAGATGATGGACAGATTTTAAACTTGTTGACTCTCTTAGGGTTTTCAACAAGTTTACTGGGATGTTGTTCCAATACGCTGCTCCTCTGTACGAAAAGCTATTTTTCAAGAAATTCGTTTTTGGTTTAGGTTGAGACAGCTTTAAATTACTACTGCGCAGTACGTAACCATTGTTTTCGCAAGTGTGAAATAGTTGTGTTACGTATTCTGGAAGCATGACATTAATCGCTTTAAATGTCATAAGGAGATCTCGCTTTTTCAAAACTAAGTCAAGAGGTTTCCAGCTAAGTTTTTGACCACAAGCTAATGCCTTGAGGCGATTATCAAGAAATCTGGTTGATTCTGGCTCCATATTATGTCCAAATGCATGTAGACGTAATAGGCCACAGTCGCTAGTTTTGAGTATACGTTGGCTCATATTCGTCCGAATATCAAACGAGGATATTTTCAGGGGCGTAGCCAAGGGGGGGCAAGGGGGGGCGGTCGCCCCCCCCAATCGCAAAAAAACCATTCTCTGAAAAAGGCTAAATCCGTAGAGAAATGGGGGGGGGGGTACACGTTACATCCTCGAAGCTGAAACGGATTAAGTACGTCTCGACTGAGGAAAACGACGAAATACTGGAAGAACTTGATTTCTAAAATCTCGTTAAAACAGTTGTAGATATGGTTCCAAGAGGAATAGATTTAGTTTAGATTTACATGAATGTATATGCATTATGATAACATGAATATTCTTCTCAGACTTATTCTGTATCATATATAAAAGCGAGTAGAAACTTAGAAATGTCTGGGAAAATTTATGTCTTCGACGTACTTTATAATCTTTGGGATTCTGCAAGATTTCACCCCCAAAATGCTTGAAATCACATTTCAGGGACTCTAAATTTTAAAATTTTCCCTGGGGTGCATGCCCCCGAACCCCCCTAGAGCGTACTTTATAATCTTCGGAATTCTGCAAGATTTCACCCCCAAAATCACATTTCAGGGACTCTAAATTTCAAAATTTTCCCGGGGGTGCATGCCCCCAGACCTCCATAGATGGTCTCGCGCCTTCGGCGTTCGCTTCGCCCCCCCAAAAATGAAGGTCTGGCTACGCCACTGGATATTTTCCTAACATTTACCCCAAAATCTCGCATTGCGACCCCAATATAAGCGTCATCTACATGAAATGGTTTTCTTATATACACATAGTTGAATAATCTATTGAGGATTAATTTGCCGTGAAGGGACTTCAGACTTCAGAGTTCAGACTTCAGACTTCAGACTTCAGACTTCAAACATTGGTTCCGAGCTTCGCTAATAGCCAACATTTCTTCTGCGAAGTTGGCTAATATTTAAGGCACTTATTCAGTCAAAGCTATTCAAACTAAAGTTAAAAATGGTCAGAATGATTTAGATTGTAAATGCAGACTGTTGGAATGTGTCAGTGAGTTCTGACAGTTCGTTGCAGGTTTAAAGGCAGAACGATAAAACATATAATACTATTGTTTGTAGAAACACCACATAAATTTATTACTGCAGTAAATTTATTAACTTTATTCTGTAAATTTATCAAGTTAAGTATAACACGCGCTCAAAACTGATGCGTATAATATACCACTTGAGGTTATGACTCAATTTTTATTTTTCGAAACGTTTTTCAATCGGCAACAAACTTAAAAAGTATGTAATGCTAAATTGAAAAGATTTTAGACTACGTCAAAGAGAAAATTATGTAGTGAAGTTCAGTAAGTTTTGCTTATATTGCTCAGCTTAATTATGGCGTCAATTTTAAAGCATCATTGATAATTGTATTTTAATTGACAATTTTTAACTATGATTTTATGTTTCTCAACCGGAAGATGCATTTAAAAAGGTAGCTAACTGTATAAACTAAAGAATAAAGCAAAAACAGAGTGATTCTAAGAGAAGGAACGCAAAAGCAATGTTGGCTACAAGCGAAGCTCGGAACCAATGTCACTAAAGTCTGAAGTCTGAAGTCTGAAGTCTGAACTCTGAAGTCTGAAGTTCCTTCACGGCTTCCGTACATGACCATGTCAAGAAAACCAGGCATAAAAGGACGAATAATATGAATTTTTGCTTAGAAGTTCCTTTGAGTTGTAGTTTATATCGTCTTTTTGTCATTATGAGGTTAGCTGCTTGACAAGACAGATACATGTAGGTACGATGGCCGAGGAGGGCCACTTCTGACTTCTGACTTCCGACTTCTGACTTCCGACTTCTGACTTCCGACTTCTGAGTTCGGACTTCTTTTACTCCATTATTTTGAACTCATGTAACTCGAACTCGTTGCTTTTTCGAACTAATTATTTTTTCCTTTGAGGCTTGACTCATGAAACTTAGCCAATTAACTTAAGTTTGAAATGGCGGTGTAAGCGGGGTTATACTGTGGTAGATAATGAAAATTTTGTCAATTAACAATATCAATTTGATAAATTCAGATATGTGAGGTTAATTTTATCGCCAAAATAGATAAATTTCTTATCCATATGATTATATTGGTGATTGTTTTTTTCTGGATGATATTTTGTAAAGTTCTTGAGCTAAGTTTTGGAAAAAGTGATGTAAATGTTAAATTAAATTTTAATTTATTTTTAAATGTCCCCAACGGCTAAATTTGATAAAGAACATCCCGTTGAACATACATAGTTTTTTTTCTACTAAAATACATACGATATCAAAAATAAGTATTGCTAACAAAAAATTGATAATACTGTTGGAAACACGGCAACATAAAATTGAAAAAATGAAATAAAATAACGAATTCGGAAATTCTGGATAAGAAAATTATGATATATTTAGACGTTATCAGCAAAATTAATCCAGAATCGAAGCAATCGGTTTTGATTTGCCGTGTTTAGCTGGAAAGGCGTAAGAAGTCAGAAGTCAGAAGTCAGAACTCAGAAGTCAGAAGTCGGAAGTCAGAAGTCGGAAGTCAGAAGTCGGAAGTCAGAAGTCAGAAGTCGGAAGTCGGAACTCGGAAGTCAGAAGTGGCCCTCCTCGGCCATCGTATATAGGTGCACCAGTTTGACGTCGGCTTTACATGCGAAGATTCGCATTTGGGGGCGGGCTTGGGCGGGCAGAGAAGAATCAAAGCGAGCCAATTAATATAAGCCTATAGAGCTGGTTTACCAATCCGAAATCGGCTCAAAACGGCGGATAATTTAATTAACGGCCCGAAACGTATTGCAAGCGCCAATCCTAAAGTTGAACTGATTATGAAAATGATGCGAATGGGTATTTAAAAACGCTATCGAATATTGATTCGATAACGCTTTTAAATTCTCCATTTGCATCATTTTAATCAGTTCAAGTAGGATGCCAATCCTAAAGTTGAACTGATTATGAAAATGATGCGAATGGGTATTTAAAAACGCTATCGAATATTGATTCGATAACGCTTTTAAATTCTCCATTTGCATCATTTTAATCAGTTCAAGTAGGATGCCAATCCTAAAGTTGAACTGATTATGAAAATGATGCGAATGGGTATTTAAAAACGCTATCGAATATTGATTCGATAACGCTTTTAAATTCTCCATTTGCATCATTTTAATCAGTTCAAGTAGGATGCCAATCCTAAAGTTGAACTGATTATGAAAATGATGCGAATGGGTATTTAAAAACGCTATCGAATATTGATTCGATAACGCTTTTAAATTCTCCATTTGCATCATTTTAATCAGTTCAAGTAGGATGCCAATCCTAAAGTTGAACTGATTATGAAAATGATGCGAATGGGTATTTAAAAACGCTATCGAATATTGATTCGATAACGCTTTTAAATTCTCCATTTGCATCATTTTAATCAGTTCAAGTAGGATGCCAATCCTAAAGTTGAACTGATTATGAAAATGATGCGAATGGGTATTTAAAAACGCTATCGAATATTGATTCGATAACGCTTTTAAATTCTCCATTTGCATCATTTTAATCAGTTCAAGTAGGATGCCATTGTGTGTTAATTACTCGGTGTACGAACGTAATTTTTTCATAATCGTGAAGATCAGGCTTTTAGGCTTTAGCTGTTGAATGACACGTTTTTCACCCGGAATGGAGAAAAAAGGGGCTAATATATACGAGTCCAATAAAAATTAATTGTTTGTCGAAATCGCATATTTTCACCTATTATTAAAGCAGTGACAGTGTGTATACATAACAACGTTTTGTTATGTTAATCGACCAACTTTCACGGTTACAGTGACGCGGAATCTTTCACAGAGACCTTTTCAGTCCCTGTTACACGGTGCAATTTTTCATGCAACTTGTCTCGCAATGTTTAAAAAAAGATTTTGATAATGCATTGCAAGAGGTGTTACACGCTGCAATGCTAAAAATAATTAGTGCAATCGTTGCCAAAAGTAGAACCGACTTCTACTCTGTGCAATGCTTCATGCAACTTGTCTCGCAAAGATTTTGACCATTGCAAGGCTTGTTGAACGCTGCAATGACTCGTGCAACTTGTCTCGCAACGCCATTGCGAGACAAGTTGCATGAAAAATTGCACCGTGTAACAGGGCCTTAAAGGCGAAATTTGTCGAGAAAATCTCATTTACAACAATATATGCGCGTGAACAGAGCTAGCAATAACACTCAGCCCGGGTCATTGCATTTGTATGGGAAATTCCCAGTCCTATCACCCGATCTTGGGTCAAACGCAAAATAAATGAAATTTAGTACGAAAATAGTAACGAGGGCGGAATCTCGTGTGGTAGATTTTCGTTCGATCCCCACAATAAGAGCAAAATTACGCGTTTTTCTTTTGTTTTGTATTATAATCCCTTCCCAAATCGCTCCCAGTTACATATATTCCCCATGCAATAACAATTAACAACATTCCTTTTATCTCATGCCTGTCAATCAATTTCCATATATGGCAGTCACCTCATCTCTAAATTTAACTACTAATTATTAATGTCAACCTTTTTCCCGACACACTCCCCCTATTTAGAACGTAAGTTTTAAATATAACTTATCTGTCTTATATACACAAGACCGTCTACACGTATTCACCGTCTCTACCCATCACAGTTCTTCCTCTTCCTGATCATAAATTAGTTCAATGTTCTTCCTTGCATCGACAGCCGCTCTACGCTTCGGTTTGAACTCCTTTGCAACAGGATTCAATGGAACAGTTTCTTGATTACTTTCTCTATCACAATGCAATTCCAAAGGGTAAAGAAATTGTATTTGTCTTTCCATGAATGATTTTCCTGCACGTAGTCTAACTCCACGAACCACTCCGTCTCTTCCGGGTATAAGTTGTTCAACAATCCCAATTTTCCACAGTCTACGATTCTTTTCATCACCTTTGATTAACATAACATCACCCCTTCGTAGCCCTTTCCCGTCATGTGTTAAATTATGCCTTTCGCGAAGTGCTCTCATGTATTCTCGTTTCCATCGTTGCCATAACGCGTCCTTACATTTCTTCAAATATCTCGCCCTCTTTCGCAGGTCTCGTTCTTCTATATCCTCAGGTGATAACTCCATAAGATAATTGGCTTTACCGAAGATCATCATGTTCGGCGTCAACACGGGAA